ATACAAGGCACAATTACTTCACTGAGACACATCAACCTTCCCACGAAGTAGTAGTTTCAAGATACTCAAACTCATCAGGAAGTGACCACATCAACATCAAAGCCAGATATTCGTCTTCAAAAGTCACGTCCATATTCATCAGATCAGTCACCAGCTGAATCTTTTTCCATTTAAGGAAAAATCCTAGCACCTCATCCTTTGTCTTCATTGTATACACCCAAACTCTCCGGAAAAACCATCAACAAAGGTGACATAATAGTGTGTTCCTCCCAATGAAGTTGTCTTGGAAGGCCCCCATACATCTGAATGAACATAATCCAAAATACCTTTAGTATCATGGATTGCTATTCCAAATTTCACCCTCGTCTTCTTCCCTTTGATGCAATGCTCACATAAAAACTAATTTGCAAGCCCGAGCACCCTTCAATAATCCTTGATCTATCAGCAATTTCAAGGATTTTTCACCAACATGCCCCAAGAGCATATGCCATAACCTAGTGCACCAGAGGTAATCCTCATAATCCCATCTTTTCCCTCACTTCTAAACCTTTTGACTCTAAGGTTCCCACAGTGATGAGATTTCTGATTAAATCTGGTACATAATGGACACCTGTTAAGGTTCTAATTGATCCATCCTGATTCCTCAAGCGAATTGAACCAATCCCAAGTGTGTCAAGAGGGGAATTATTTGTTGTGTAGATAATTCCACCTTTAGTTCTTTAAAATCAAAGAACCATTCTCTATTGGGGTCATATGGTGGCTACAAGCTGAATCTAACAGCCATGAACTGGAACAGCTAGTTGATGGCGTAGCAGAGAATGCGAAATCTGAATATGCATCATCATACTCGACCACATTTGATTCTGAGACAACCTTTCCCCTTTCAGGTTTTCATTTATTCTTTAGCCTAGGACATTCTTTCTTCCAGTGCCCTTTTATCAACAAAAGGCACATCTTTTCTCAATTTGGACTTTGATTTCGATCTCCTCCTCCTTCCTTTATTCTGACTCTTTGAACGGCCTCTAACAACAAGAGCTTCTACTTCGACACTTGTGTTTTATTGTTTGTATTTCTTTCTCAATTCATATCTATACAAGGCAACAATTACTTCACTGAGAGACACATCAACCTTCCCACGAAGTAGAGTAGTTTCAAGATACTCAAACTCATCAGGAAGTGACCACATCAACATCAAAGCCAGATATTCGTCTTCAAAAGTCACGTCCATATTCATCAGATCAGTCACCAGCTGATTAAAACTAGTAATGTGATCATTCATAGTGGTACCTAGTACATAGTTGAAGCGAAACAATCTATTTTTCATGTACAGCTTGTTCTGACCGCTTTTCTTCAAAATAATTCTCCTCCAGTGCCTTCCACAATTTACTTGCAGAAGTTTCCTTAGAAAATGCATACTTCTACTCTCTGGAAAGACACGATCGAATAGTACCACATGCCAATCTATTGATCCTCTTCTATTCTTTCTCCTCAACATCATCTGGTTTCTCTCATTCAATAGCAATGTCTAGACCTTGTTGAAATAGGGCATCTAGAACCTCACTTTGCCACATGCCGAAATGACCGGTGCCATAAAAAATCTCCCATGCAAATTTAACATTTGTCACAACATTTCTTGCGGATGTTTTTGTGTCGTATGCCATTTCTGCTACAAACTCTATTTAATAGCTGTCAATGCGGAATGTCAATTATCACAAGGAAATTTTTTCTGATGTGAAGATCAACCTAAGTCGCAACCACATAGCATACTAAAATAAATCAAGAGCTCTGATATCAATTGTTGTGGAATTCGGGTTAATTTCCCCCAATAATAACAAATTCACCTTGAAAACTATTATCTAGGTGACTAGTGTGAAAACGATTGTACTAAAAATCACCCCAAGGTAGATTCCCAAGAAAGAGGAGGGGTCATAATGGTCCCTCTTAAAACCCACTTTCCTTAGACAGAACTACCAAGGCAAGTAATTTTAATAGGACAATAATTAACAACAACTATACCTGACAATAGCTATTAAATAGACATAAAAGAGAACACCAAAATTTAACGAGGTTCAGCCAAAATTATGCCTATGTTCTCGAACACTACTAAAATAATATTTCACTAATAGAGAAAATATTACAAAGAGAGAAAGAGTACAAATAGCCTTTAATGGTGAAGAATGCTTACATTTGTGGGATGCTAAACTAAGGAGGAGGATGTCTCTATCTATAACAAAAGAATTTCCCCTCCTCCTTATACAAAACCAATGTGAAATTCAAAATTTGCCAAAAAAACCAACAGTTATAGTGTATCGAATTATCGATCTGGAGCATTCCCAACAATTCGATTTTTTTGTTCGCGATCACGATCAAATTGATCAAAATATGCGCAATGTTCTTATTGGTCGATTGTTTGGAAGATCGATTGGATATCGAACCCTCCTGAGTCGAATAAACATGTTATGGCTCCCGATTGGGACGTTAAATTTGATTGATATGGCTAATAACTTCTTTTTGGTGAGATTTGATAATGAGCAGGACTACACGAAATCCTTAACTGAAGGTCCGTAGACGATATACAGGAATTATCTAACGGTTTAACCTTGGAGCCGTTCGTTTTCTACATATGAAAAACATCCCTCGAAGGTGATAGTTTGGGTTCGTTTGCCGGGGTTACCGTACATGTATTACTCAAAGGCTTTACTTCGTTTGATTGCAGTGGTCATTGGGCAGGTTGTGAAAGTGGACTACAACAGTTAGGTTGGTCATAGAGGCAAATTCGCTCGGATTGTGGTCCTTGTTGATCTGAATAAACCACTTTTACCTTGTATAGGTGTCGATGGTTTTGTTCAGAAGCTTGAGTATGAAGGCTTAAATCAAATATGTTTGAGTGTGGAGTTTTATAGTCATGCTAAAGAAGCTTGTGTTAGCATGAAATGGAAGGAGTCGAGTAATGAACATGTGGATTCTGATGGGCGAAATAAGGAGATGGCTCCTTCAATGGTTTTGTCTGGTAAAGATGGTTTTGGTCCTTCAATGGATTCGACCGGCAAGGATTTATTTGGTCCTTGGATAATTAGTGAAACAAAAGGCGAAAATCAAGGAATACAGCACAATCGAAGAAGGCTGATGCTAGCCCTTCAACAGTATGTGGTAAGTCTAAATTTGTTGTTTTAGAAGAGAATGGGGCGATGCAAGGTTCACACGAAATTGTTAATGGTGCTGCTAAATCGCGTAAGAAGGCAGTGAAGACTGTTGCTATCCAGAGTAGCATAATTTCATATCCAAGCTCTTCTACAACGGCGCATCATCAAGCTATTGTCCGAAATGCAGCTTATTTAGCTTCAAACCCGGAAAATAAAGCCAAAGGGGTTCTTAATGTTACTTCTAATACAGTCGTGGTTCATGTCATAAAGAGGCAGCAAGCGTTGGTGGTTCCCCGTGAGAATAAGCAAATCACAGATAACCATGCTGCTGTCTCAATTGTTGAAAAATGTATGGGGCCTAGAGGAGGTACCGATGTTAAACTGTTGAAACCGAAGGGTGGGATTAATTATGCTTTCAAAGAAAATATGCGGGTTAGTAACCGTGCCGGTAACTGTTGTGGGGAAAATTTCTGCCAGGTTGGTTCTAACAGATTGGCTGCAGGAGGCTAACCAAACTATTAGAATTAGTGAAAGCATTAATTCCAAAGCAAGACCTGTCACGGATAATCCTCCATTCGTCCCAATGTTAGGCGATGAAGGGGAGAGGGCAGTGGATAATGATAAGAGCTCGATCGTTGAGGACAGAAGAATGGATGATACTTCGGTGTCAGGTGAGTAAGGTCCTTTGTGGTTTTTTTAATGATTACTTTTCTATTTTGGAATTTCCAGGATGCGGCTAGCCCCAAATTTAGAAGGTATTTTCGGGTTTTTGTTCGGGATTATAATCCGACGATGATTGCTTTATTTGAAACTCGGTTTAGTGGCATGAGGGCTGACAAAGTAATCTCTCGGCTTGGTTTTCCTAATTCTTTTTGGATTAAGGCCCGGGGTTTTAGTGAGGGCATCTGGCCCTTGTGGAATGATTCTGTGGTGGTTGATATTCTTCACATTTCCAATCAATTTGTAAATGAAGAGTTAGACAACATGACTCCTTGGATTGGCTCTATTTTACTTCTATCTATGCGAGTCCAAAGACTAGCATTCGAAATCAGCTTTGGGAGCAGCTTATTGAGCTTGATCTTGGGCATGATTATCCTCGGATGCTTGGCGGAGATTTCAATGCAATTGCCAAGGCGGATGAAAGACAAGGAGGCTCTGTGACTTCGACTGGAGTGAATCGAGCTTTTACAGAGTTTGTTTGTTCTTCTGGTCTGATTGATTTGGGCTATAATGGGATCCCGTTTACTTAGAAACGTGGTAATCTTTCACAAAGATTGGACCCATTTTTGTCTAATAATAAGTGGCATGCCAAATTCTCTTATTCCTGTGTGTATCATGTGGATCAGTTGGGATCTGATGATCGCCCCATTTTACTTTGCCCTTCAGCTGAAAGAGTTGTTGTGAATAATCGCCCATTCTGTTACATTTTTCTAGGTAAAAGCATCCGCCTTTCCAAAAATTCCTTACTACGGTTTGGAACGAGGAGGAGGATATAGGTACACATTTGGATACCTTTAAGAAGAGTGCCAAAGAGTGGAATTCTGATATCTTCGGTCACATTGGTCGAAAGAAGAAAAGACTTATGACCCGGCTTAGAGGGATTGATAGGGCTCTTCAGAACCGTCATTTGGATTCTTTTGTTGAGCTCGAGAGGAACCTCCAGATTGAATTAGAAAGTGTTCTTGATTAGAAAGAATAATTTTGGGCCCAAAAAGCTTGTGCTATGTGGATTCTGCAGAGGGACATAACACTAAATTTTTCCATGCTTCCACTATAGCTCGTCATTGAGCGAATCAAATTTCATCTCTTAAACTGGATAATGGTGAGTGGTGTACCTATCAAAACTCTTTGATGGACATGGCTACGACTTTTTATAGAAATCTGTTTACTTATTTGCCTAATCTAAATCGATGTTATGCTATAAGAGGGTTGCTTTCGTTAGTTCAGCAACACAGATTAGATGAGCTGAATAGATCAGTTCAGGATGAGAAAATCAAAGCGGCTATATTTGCTATGGAACCCTCCAAGGCTCCAGGGCTTGACGGCTTTCATGCTAGCTTCTATCAGAAAAATTGGCCGATTGTGGGTGGTGTGGTGTGTAAGTTCTTTAAAGAGGTTTTCATGGGTAAGTCTTGGTTTGATGATCTGAATCGAACTCTCATTGTTTTAATTCCTAAAGTCAGTGTTCCTGAATCTATTACTCAATTTAGGCCAATTAGCCCGTGTAATATGATCTATAAGACGATTACTAAGGTAATTGTGGAAAGATTGAAACCGCTGTTTCCTGATTGGGTTTCAGAGAATCAAACGAGTTTTGTTCCTGACAGGTCAATTACCGATAATAATATTATCACTCAGGATGTTATTCATTCGATGAACACTAAATCAGGGAGTCATGGCTGGATGGCTATCAATATTGATTTGGAGAAAGCTCATGATAGACTTGAGTGGGAGTTTATCGAGGATACTCTCATGGATCTTAAGATTACGGTCTCTTTGTGTTCCATTATCATGAAACGTGTTACCTCTGTTTCGTCTTAACTTCTTTGGAACGGTCCCCAACAAATTCTTTCAGACCTTCTCGGGGCATCCGTCAAGGGGATCCGTTTTCTCCATATCTGTTTGTCTTTTGCATGGAGCGCTTTGTGCAAGCAATTCAAATGAAAATCAGTCAAGGGAGATGAAAGCCAATTCAAACTTCTAAAACGAGCCCCAGTATATCTCATTTGCTTTCTGCTGACGATATGCTCTTGTTTGCTGAAGCCTCAAATAATCAGGTGGATCTTATTAAGGCGGTGTTGCATGACATTTGTGTAGTGTATGGGCATAAAGTTAGTAATCCGAAGATTACAATGTTCATTTCTAAGAATGTCCTATCAAATTTAAGAACTCAGATTAGCGCAAAGTTTGGCTTCCAGGAAGATATGGGGAAATATTTGGGTGTTCAGCTTCTCCATAGTAGGGTCTCGGAAGCTTCGTATCGGTATCTTGTTAATATGGTGCGTAACAAACTTAGTAGGTGGAAGACTCGGTCCCTTTCGCTTGTGAGTCGAATTACTTTAGCCAAATCTGTGTTAGCGGTTATTCCCTCTTATACAATATGGTCTACAATGTTGCCTAAAAAATTTGTGGAGTTGGAGAAGTGTATTCGAGCCTTTATTTGGGTTCGTACTGATAATACCAGAGGTGTCAATATTGCGAGGTGGAAGGAGGTCTGCTGTCCGATTTAGTATGGGGGCCTTGGTTTTAGACGTATGCATGTGCAAAATGAAGCTTTTTTGATGAAAATTACGTTCAACTTGATCGTGAAGCCTGATTCTCTTTGGGTGAGATTCCTACGGTCCAAGTACAAATGCTCAAATAGTGTGCCTGAGGCACTGCGTGGGACAAGATGCTTGAGACTTTGGAAGGGCCTTGCGATTATTTTGGAGGATGTTGGGCGTAACATTTCTTAGGGTATTGGTGATGGGAGAACTGTTGACTTCTGGTTCGACCTGTGGCTCGATAACTATGGGCCTCTTATTCAGTATGTGACTTCTGCTAGCGAGATTGGGATGGAAAGAACTTCGGTTGCTGATATGGTTGATAATAATGGGGAATGGAGATGGGCAGCTTTTCAATCTTATCTTCCCTTTAATGTTCTACTCTGGGTTGCAGCTAAGAAATGTCCTATCGAGAGTGACACTCGTGATATGGTGGGATGGTATCTGCGGGAAGACCTTAACTTCTCGGTGAAATCTGCGTACCCGACTCGTATTAAGGATTATAGTGGTAGTAAGGAGCCTGTTTGGGGGTTAATTCATAAATATCGTGGATTGTCGAAGATCAAATACTTTCTTTGGCTAGTTGGAAAGGGGCGCATTATGAATAATGCTGAGAGAGTCAGACGCCACTTCTCTAGTGTTAGCAATTGCACATGTTGTATGGCTTCGATTGAGGATATTGATCACGTTCTTCGCTCATGCCCATTAGCTTTTACAATTTGGGTAGATGTGATTAAAAGGGAGAAGCTGAATGAATTCATGACCATGGATATCAAGAGTTGGTTGATGTACAACCTTGGTGATCCTGGTTACTTTGTGCATGCGGTAGAGCACTGGGATATTATGTTCGGTGCCATTGTGTGGAACATTTGGCTCAATAGGAATGTCATTGCTTTTGAGACTCCGGTAGATGACTGTCGATCGGTAATGGATAAGAATCTACATTTGAAGGAAGCTACCTGTGTTGCGCTTGCGATGAGGTCTAGTGTGCAGGTTGTTCATCAGGGCATTAGAGTGAGACCTAAGAGATGAGATCCTCCCCCTGTTGATTGGGTTAAGATTAATACTGATGGTGTTGTTTCTAAAGTGACAGGGTTTGCAACCTGTGGTGGTGTTATTCGGGACCACAATGGGAGCTGGTGCAACGGTTTCATGAAGTTTATAGGGGTCTGCTCAGTTGTGGAAGCGGAGGTTTGGGATGTTTACCTTGGGCTCTGTCTTGCGTGGAAGGGTGGCTTCTGTAAATCATAATGGAGGTTGATAGTTTGGATGCTTTGGCCATGATTGAGAAGCACATGGCTCCCTGTGCTAAATTGACTATTCTTCACCACGTCTTGGAGCTGTTGAAGCAGAACTGGTTGGTGAGGTTAGAGTACATCGCTAGAGAAAGAAATCGAGTTGCGGATGTTGTGGCTAAGTTGCCAAGTTTGGCGAATTCCAATGCGTGACTCTTGCATCGCCCCCGGCTTCGGTTTTGCGGTTTTGCATCAAGATAGACGTGGTCAGGATTATTAGCTTATTGTTTATGTTTGGTCTTTTGGATGTCTTTTCTTTGACTTGTAATCTCTAATTGTCACGTGTAGTCTTTTCTTCCGATTAGGTTTAGGAGGTTTAATGAGGCACGTGGCAATTCTCCCTTTTTCACAAAAAATAATAATTAATCAATGGTTAATCATTTATCAAAATTCATAGTTGTAACCTTAAATTATTAACAATCATTTTTAGTTGTTTGGTTAACCGAAATTATTTAACATTAATAGTTCGATTAATTAACCTATAAAATACAACGATTATACTAATTAACGGTTACAGTTTTTTTAATTGTAAATTGACATTTAATATCTAGATTAACGATTAAATTGACAAAAATATTATAATGATAAAAGTTTTAATTAAATATTTTAATTTGAATATATATATATATATATGATACAATTAATTCTTTTTCATTTTTTGTTAATTTAATAAATCAATTAAAATTTTAATTTGTTAAACCCTAACTCAATCAATATCTCTTAAAAAAGTGAATTCAAGTATATTCAAATTTAATTTTTTGACTAAAAATTTGAAGATAATATATTTAAAATAATTATAGTATTATTTAATTTTTAACAAGTTGTGTTTATATGATTAAAGTAAACTATAGATCCAAATATTATATTAGACTATTAATATAGATTGATTGTTATGAGATTATCCTAAGTGACTTATACCAATGATGTCGCCCCAAATTATTTTTTTTTCTTAAATAATTTAATGGTTATAATATAATATTTATTTAATTTTTTTATTATCGGCAACCTATACACTTTATATGTTTAAATTTATTTTTTTTAAATAATACTTTGTTTTACTTTTTAAAATTTTTTATTATCGGTAACCTGTACACTTTATATGTTTAAATTTATTTTTTTTAAATAATACTCTGTTTTACTTAAAGCAATAGCATGGGGTCGGGTCAGGTTTTTGGTCAACCCGACCCGTAAACATATATGTAAACTCCAATCCCATCATGAGGAATTTTGATTTTTTTCCGGTCCTAAACCTGCCCTATTTTTAGACTAAAACCCCGACCGACTCGAAAATATTAATATTTTAAAAATAATTAAAATAATATATTTTAAAATAATATATTTATAATTGATAACTCCGTAAAAAGTTCATATTTGAGACCTTTTCACTTAAGTTATAGATGCATTTAGGAGCATATAGTTGCATGTGGTGGACATTTTATTTTGTAATCAGTGTTGCTTTAAGGGGAAGGTGTTTGTTTGGTGATGTGCAGGATTTGGGAGCAAGGAAAAGCAAAAGGGAAATGCCGTGACATAAGGAGACTGCTGAGCAGAATGCAAATGCCGAACCAGTTAGCATTTCGAGAGCGATCAAAACGAAAGAAAAATATTTTTAGTAAGAGCCAGTTGTTATTCTCTATACGTGATTTCTGCAATCAGCCACATAGGAGGGGCCAATTACCATCTCTGCGCTGACTCTCACATAAAAGGAATGAACTTTAGGGTATAAGTGTAATTTTAACACAAAACCCTAGGTTCATTCTCACCTATAAATAGGAGATGAAGCCATACTTTTTTAGGAGACTTTGAACTTTTACCCACGCCCAAGACCTAAAAATTCGGAGAAAAAGTTCTCCACCAATTCTATTTGCCGCGGGATTCCTCCGTTGACAAGCTAAAGGGAGTGGTGTTCTAGGCGTCCGAGAGGGGCTAGTTCACTGGGATAGTACGTGGTGGCCGAGGGAAGCTCCGACAGTGCACGTCAAAGGCTTTTCGTCATTCCCTTTGCTCTTTTCTTTCATATCTTATCATTTAGGTTGTAAGGAACGAATTAACTTGCTTTCTGCTAGCTTATTTCGAACCCACCATAAACTAATCTTATTTGGTGGGAGTTTATTTTGGATATTTAAGTTTTGCTTTAATGAATGGTTGTTTTTCTATGTTATTATCTGGTTTGTTTATGGATCTTAGTTCCTTAAGATTGTAGAAGCTATGAGAGTAGCCATTCCTTAGGAGATTACTTAGTGTTCGAGAGAATGTCTAGGTAGCACATCCTTAGTGTTCGAGAGAAACTAGGGAGGAACCACATAAGCAATGGGTTCTAGATAGTAACTAGACATAATCCACCTTAGAGATAAGGCTAGGATTTCATTCGAATAAAAGGAGTTGTGCATGAGCGATAGGTTAGATGTTAATGCTACCGCAAAAATGTATTGTTGAGACATATCCTGTTATCTGGACCAATAGGATCACTGCAGGAGTTTACGCCAACCGGTTTTGCCAAGGCATCTTCACTTTGTCGAGTCCCTTACTAGAGATAGCATAGGGCACCCTAGAAGACTATGTCGGACAGCTAAGGCATAGAAGTAAAACCATTTGAGAAATGGACTTAAATTTTCCTTAGTGACTCATATCACTCATTCCCGTAGTAACTTGTCTTGTGAGGAAGTTAAAGTCTTATAAATCAAATCCTATATTTATATTTTATTTTGCCTTTACATTTCCATTTGTTTGCACTCAATACAATTTAATTTTCCAAAGCATTTTCATCCACTTTGCCACGACATATCCATTTGCTACCATATTACCATCATCCCATTTCCATAACATCCATTTCATCTTGCCAGAACATTATCATTTGTACATACCATCACTAACTTTACTTAAGTGACAGAGTAAAGTGCTTTGATCGAACTTGTCAATTTCCTCCAGTCTCTGTGGAGATGATACTCACTTATCACTGTATTACTTGTTCGATTGTGTATACTTGCACATAATTCCGCATCCATATTTAGTACTCACAAATAGCAGACAAGTTTTTGGCGCCGTTGCCTGGGATTGGCAACTGGATGTTAATTTGTTTTGTCATAGCATTTTTATTTTACTTGTTTATTTTTCTTATTTTTAGATAGCTTTACTTTTTATTTTCCTTATATTTTTCAGTTTTTTTTCTCGGTGTATGACCATAAGACATTCGAACGAGCCATTAGAACCGGTTGAACTTTAGATCGAGAGGCTTTTTAGGAGAAGAAGACGCGCTCAACTTGTAAATATGTATCAACTCAGAAATCAAGGCATTGGTCATGAGGAAGATCAGAATGTTGAGGCAATTCTAAATGCTAGAAATGCAACTAGACCTCGCGTCATTCGTGATCACTTAAACCTTATCTTGGATGACTTAAATATTGTAATTGTGGTACCAGAAATTCAGGCAGCCCACTTCGAGCTCAAACCTGTCATGTTCAATATGTTGAATTCCATAGAGCAATTTGAGGGCATGCCAAATGAAGATGCCAGACAACATATTCGTAACTTCTTAGAGGTGTGCGATTCATTTCGTCAACAAGGCGTGCACGAAGATGTATTGAAGTTAAAACTATTTCCATATTCTTTGCGTGACCGAGCAAGCGCTTGGTTGAGTGGCATTCCAGCGGGTTCAATGGAGTCTTGGAATGATCTGTGCAAAAAAAAATTCTACGGTATAATCCTCCGAACATGAACACCCAATTGAGGAACGACATCGCCTCTTTTCGTCAAGCTGATGACGAATCAATGTATGAGTACTGGGATCGGTATAAAGGATTGCTTTGTAATTGTTCGAATAATGGTTTTCAAGATTGGACACAAGTGGTGATGTTCTATAACTGAGTTAATGCGCCCACGAGGATGATGCTAGATGTCTCGACATATGGAACGTTACTTGACAAATCACCAGCAGAGACATTTGACATTCTGGATAGGATTGCCAACAACAATTATCAATTTTATCCACAAGGTTTGGAATTGGGCAAAAATCACATGGAGCTTTCGAGCTAGACTCTAAGGATACGTTGTCCGCCCAACTTGCTAATATCATCAATATGATGAAGAATTTACAGAGACCAAGTGATGTGAGAGAAATAAAGGCAACCAATTCAACATGTTTATTATGCCACGACAATTACCATGAGAGTGATTGCCCGACCAATCAAGAATCCATCAACTATATGGGCAACTATAATTGAGGTAACAACAACCCTATTCTAACACATATAATCCTAGATGGCGTGAACATCCTAACTTTTCATGGGGAAACCAAGGAACCAGCAATGCTCATCAACCAGTTCGGCAGCAGAATTTCATTGACTCTCAAGGTTCTCAAACGAATATGCCATGGCATAATTCTCACAAAGGAGGTTAATCTTCATCTAACACCAGTTCTTTGTAGGCCACAATGCAAGAGTTCATAGAAACAACGAAGACAATGCTACAAGACCATGCAACCTCCATCAAAAACCAAGGAGCCCTGCTTCAGAGCCACGGTGCATCGCTGAGGGCATTGGAGGGTCAGGTTGGTCAAATTACCGTGGCATTACAAGAACGTTGACCAGGACATCTTTCTAGTGACACTGAAGTCACAAAACCTCATGGCAAAGAACAATGTAGTGTGCTAACTCTACAACTCTACAAAGTGGTACACAGATCAATGTCAAAGACAAGTTTGAGGGAAAACCAAAGGATGATTCACCCCCTGTAATTGTGCAAGCTTATCAAGAATTACCAAAAGAAATATCCATGGAAGAGGATAAGGATGAGAGTTCTTCGAGTGAAGCGACTGAGAGAGCAAACAAAAATGCCAAGGCAAACTCTGTTCCCACCCCGTCAGTACAGGAAGTCAGACCCCCACCTCATTTTTCGTAGAGACTAAAGCAACATAACGAGGACATGCAATTCAAAAAGTTTGTTGATATTCTGAGTTAACTTCATATCAATGTTCCTTTTCTGGAGGCTGTGGAAAAAATGTCGACATATGAAAAATTCCTCAAGGAGATTGTTACCAAGAAAATAAAGGCTGAGCAATACGACATAATTGCCACGGCAAAAGAATTTTGCTCATCCTTAAGCAAGCTGCCATCGAAGAGACATGATCCAGACAGTTTTATCATTCCATGTTCGAT